GTAACATTATCGTATTGTATGTTATCAGAGATTTTTGAGGAAATTATAATAATAAATAAATATTATTATTATTCAAAATGGCTCTGGGTTTTTTTTTGTTAATTAAAGCTTATAATTTTCAATTAAAAGTTATTTTAATGAGCAAAATGTATACTCAAAATACCTTAACTAGTTAATTATGAGGACACATACCTATGTCTTCATTCATAATTAAATAAAAAAATTAGTTCAAAATCTATTATGTTTAGTAGTCAAAAACTCAAGTAATTTCTCATTTTTTTGTAGAATGTAAACACACATTGGTAGAATTTCAATAACCTGAATACATTTTTAGTACTATATACTTTCTTAGTAATGTAATCAACAAACTGCATGTGAATACGTTTCATCGTTAAAAGAACTTCATTTTTCTTAAGATCCTTTACTTCTTGAAATGTATCTCCTCGAAGAGAGCTTTGATTATTTTGTCCGTCTGACGGTACTTTCACGAATTTCATTTTCATTTCTTTCTGTCTAAATAAATATATTTATTTCTATTCAATTTAAATTGCAACAGAGAAATGTATAACCGAAGAACATCATCAAATTTCCAATTCCACGTTATTCCATCTAACCACAATAAGAAGTTTCCCCATACTTTTTGTATCAAGCGCATAAAAATTCAACTCAAAGCAAATAAATAAGGAAAAATACAAGCTTGATTTATGAGGTTTATTTCTCTCTTCATAATCTAAAATTTTTTAACTGAACTAAAAACTAAATATTATTTACAATTTTGTTTCGAGAATCAAGGAATTAAAGAAGAAAGCTGAGATGTATGTTATTTTTGATTTTTAAGCTTGCATTAAAGCCATTTTAAATACTTAGTATTTGAACATTCCAAAGTAAAATGTTCCCAGTGCGAAATAATTTCTGTCTCTAAAACTTATTCTTATTCTCATTTCAAATGTTTGATATATGTGAAAAATGTACCCCATGTAATTTTTTGTGAGGTATTTTAATTTTATAATTTGCGTAACTTATAAATCAGTAATGAATAATCTATAAATCATAATATATTAAAATATAGTTTTTCATATTTCAAAGATAGGAAAGGTCCCCGCAATTAACAAGCAGTTTCTTTCTGAGTAAATTGCAATGAATTCGGGAACTATCTCGTAATTAAAGTAGTCTCTTCTAATCGGAAATAATTAACCAATACGTATAAAACTACAATATTATAGATTTAAAAATCTCACAAATGTTAAACAAAAAGTCAAATGAAGCACATCGTCAATGTCAAATGTTTGACTTGAATTGTCTTTAAAATGGCTGGGAAGAATTTTCTACAGGAACTTCTAAATTTTCCTCAAAATTATCATCCGAGATCCTTCTAGAGTTTTCTAGATGCATCTATTTTTTATTCTGTGGTGACCAAGTTTGTCGCCAAAATCTATTTTATTCTATTTATTTATTATTAAGGAAAGAGTAATTTGTTTTGGACTACAATCTATCTTGCCACAATACCCTTTTTATAAAGATGAAAACACACACGAAGTGTGAACTTTCCATGGTAGTACAGTATTATAATGGGAAGATGAAAAGGAAGTACGATGCATGAAAAAACGTATTTGTAATACTCGGAAAAATAAATGAAATGTAAATCCGACAGATTTAAAAAACAACAACATATGTATTTATTATGCGCATAACCATTGCTGCGCATAGTGCTGCCATAATTAAAGGAAATACGATTAACGAGATAAATAACTTTTTAAAAATAGTATGTTCCTAAAGTAAAAATGGATGTATTAATATATTTTCTTACCATTTGAAAGTATGATTGAACATTATACGCGTAATTGTCGTTGGATAATGCATTTAAACATTCAGAGCACGACTTTGAGATCGTAAAAAGTACTTTCATGTACAAAATTTTTCTACAATTTTGTTTCTTAAAAGTCGAAAGCCAAAAGGAAACAAACGTGCCCTTTCGTAAAGTAGAAATATTTTTTGGATGTGAAAGAAATGAAGTGAACATTTTTTAACTACAAAGATTAAGACATTTTTTAACCAAGCATACAAAGATTAATTACGATCGTACTTCCATTGATCTGTTGTTGGAAGAGCGGGAGGGGAAGGGGAGTCGAGTCAATGCTGTGTTCCATTTTAGATTTCAGTAGAAAGAATGAATACATTTTTAATAATTTACTTGACAAAATAAATTTAAAATTTTCTTTAAATATTAATAGAAAACATTGATAATATTCAAAAGCTTTCTTTCTAAATATTCTTCTGCTCATTAAAATTACTATCTTTTTAATGAATATTGATATTTTAAATAAACAGTACGTTCATTATATTTATGCATTGAGATATGATTCAGATAAAGTTCAAATTTATTTAAAATAAATAAGTAATACAAAAGAGTGCTGACAGTTAATAATGATTGTTACAGCATATTTTTACGACTAATGATTTATATAATTAGATATTCAGAATAATAGTGAAAAACAAATTTATTTTCAAATCTTTGTCACAATTTCAATAACTTATTCTTAAATTTGAAAATCTAACAAACGAATGAACCTTGAAGTAGAGCCCTCTTTATATTCTCATTAAAATTTCTTCTAAGTTGAATGTTAAGTCTTTATATTATGCTTTACCATCATATTTGGGGGATTACACCGTGTGTGTGCATGCAAATATTTACTTATAAAATCCTTCTCTTATTTATAGTTAGAGAATAACAGAAATTTGTTTATATCTAATATATAAATGAAATATAAAAAAGATGAAAACGTTGCAAACAATATCCTTTTTTTTCCTTATCTGGTTACGAAAAAAATACCAACATGGATATTATATGTCTAAGACAGAGGTGGACAACCCTTTTGATTAGCGTGTCTCTATCTGATATTAAATCATTATACGAACTAAAAAGATACTTAAAGGTGAAAAAATTTTACTTATTGGCTTATAGAATTTTTACGCAAATAGCATATCTTTTTAATAAAAGTTTAAAAATAATATAATGAGAGTGTGTGAATACTTAGGTTTTATTATTAATAAACTTTTTACTTAATTTTTATAAACTTTTTTAGGTATACATAAATATGAGTAACGTCAGACATTTAATTCTTAATTTATTATTAAACAGTCAGTACTTGCTTAATGTGGCTTTTGAATTTGTAGCTTTTTTATCAAGTCATATATATTAGGATTAGTTCTTGAAGCTTCTAACAAAACTAGGTAGTTTAGGTGTATATCAGTTAATTTTGAGTGATATTTTAATTTTGTAAGTATTATGTTCGCGCGTAATAGAAAACATTAATTCCCAAACTGACATTGATTGAAAACTAACACAACATCTGACAGCCAAATCGTGTAAATTTGGAAAATTGCCTGTCGCTTCGAATTTCCAACGTTCAATATAATTTGGATAACTTGAGTTAAAATAAATTCCTTATGTTTGCTTTCAAGTCTAGTATGATGCTGTTGGTTAATAATTCCGAATTGGGTTTCAGATGGGTAACAGTTAACGTCTTGTAGAGAAATTGAAAAAGAATTTATGAAAAGATCAGTATGTTTCTATCGTCTTGAAAATTACCCAACCTAGCACTGAAAGAATCCCGCAGAGTGAATAATAAATTTTTAAATCTATTATAGCTCGGAGTTCTATTTGGTAGATAGTTAATAGTGCTCGATCTGTTTTTCAACACACACACACATACACACACTTTATTGAAATGTTGTACTATAACAGGTGTTCTAAATTACGATCAGAAGTCATATGGCGGGTCTGAAAGTGGCATTGCATGGAATTCCTTACGTTCTGGAGGTACGGTATTTTTGAGCTCGCGTTGAAGATGAGCTCTTCCAACTCTCCACTTCGTTTTAGGATCGTAAGTAAAAAACTACGATTCTTCATATACGTTATTATCCATTTCAATAAGTTTGGGTCATTTTCAATGGCATTCAAAGTGTCAGAGAAAACATTTTTCCAGCTTCTTGTTATTCAAACATGAGAATTGCAGGCATCATTTTGGCACTAAATTTTTGCTTGCCAAAATTATTATGTAAAATTTGCTCTGTTATGATTCTTTTTCAATTCCTACAGTCTCAAAAATCGCACGTTTACTTAACCGACTGTCAGATAAAACCAGATTGCCAAATTTTTTTATGCTGTCATCCGTGTTTGGCCTGGAAGGGCGATCCGAGCATGAATCATCTTCAACGTCTTCTCGGCCATTTGAAAACGCTTAAATCACCAAAAACACGTGCACGTAGTAAGCCTTCATTGCCATACACTTCTTACAATAAATTGTACATTTCGGCCGCATGTGTTTATTGCAAATTTCATGTGAAAACTCGAAACAGTTCATTATTCTATTGTTAAACATCATTTTTCTGGCGAATAAGAGAGCTATTCTAATACGAACGAATACCACGGCTAAATGGATTTGTTTACAGAAACCAGAGGCACTCTGCATTTGAAAGGGAATGCTTCACGCTAAATAGATTGCTTACTTTTTCTGTAGCATTGTAAATGTATTGCATGTGTGAAGCGTACACATACATTTTTTGTAGTCTGTCCCCGTAGCACAGAATACGTATAAATACATTAGGAGATTTTTGCAGGATCGTAAAAATAATAAAATTGTTAAAATTTCATAGAGAGAAAAAAGCAGCAATGAATGTATTGTAATTTAAATGAATGACTAAAGTCTCACAAATTCAACGCTATAAATAATCTATAAAATAATTCTTACATTACAACTATCGTAGCAAATATTTACAGATTTTGCTTCATATTGGAATGCTTAATAGTTTTGTTACGAAGTTAGACTTCTTTTGGGGCGTTAGGGGAATTTTGACGATGCACGCGCGCACACAGTCACAAATGTGACACAAAAATGTCACACATGCGAAAATGCTTTGTCTAGTTATATACAGAACGTTACAGATCATTGCCGCCTCAGAAATTCTCAGGAAAATATTTCTCTTCACTTCCCTGAAGAAGGTGACATCCGGGTTTGAACCGGAGACCTCTCAATCTGCAGTCGAGCATTTTACCGCTGAGCTATACACCCGCGTCAGCGAGCCTTTGTTTTGCGTTCCGTAGGAACGAATACTAAAATGCTTTGACTAGAAATATGCAAAACGGGAAAGATCATTCCCGCCTTCGAAATTCTCAAAAAAATTTCTTTTTCCCTGAAGAAGAGGATACCTGGGTTTGAACCGGGTACCTCTAGATCTGCAGTCGAATGTTTTAAAACTGAGCTATACACCTGCGTCAGCTAACCTTTGCTTTGCGTTCCGTAGTAACGAATACGAAAATGCTTTGATTAGAATTTTTTAGAATGGGACTGATCATTCCCGCTATCTAAATTCTCAAAAAAATATTTCTCTTCACTTCCCTGAAGAAGGGGGTATCTTGGTTTGTGCCGGGTCATCTCGATCAGGAGTCGAATGCAGTACGATTGCGCTATGCCTTCCGTGTTTGAAAACCTTTGCTTTGCGCTGAGTCGTGATGTCACTACTGGTAAGAGAGATCGTCCTTCGCCTACGGAGCTTCTCTGATACCTTTGTTTGAACACTTTTTGTTATTAAACCAATTATACTTACAGGAAATTTAAAAAAAAATTAGTAAATTAATCTTTAAATTGTGTTTCATGTACATGAAACATAAGAGTAAATATTAGTGTACCTATTTAAATAACAATTGCGAGTATATGATTATAAATGTATATTTACTACGAATGCACTGCGATGAACATAAACACATTTATTACATTATAGCAAATTATAAGAGCTTTTTTTGAATTCGTATATTTATTTTTGAAGTTATCCTTTTTTTGGGGTGTTAGGGAAAAAGGAAGACTGTAAATTTTTACGATGCGCGCGCACACCGTCACGGATGTGTGCGCATAGCTTCACGACACCGTTGTCTAATATATTATCCTGCCACTTTTTTGGTGCTATGGGACTGATATTTTGAGCATCATAATAACTATTGTTGTAAACCACATCTGTTGGAACGCATCCCTCCTGTGCATTGCACCCTCTAACAGCTTTTTGGCCAATATCTCGGCAACAGAGCCTCACAGTTCATTAGGACCTGGCTCATTCGATTTCTCTCTATCTGTTCTTCCAGTTATAATTTCATATGTGCTCATAGGGCTATTTCTTTCATAGTTTTTAAATGTCTTAAACTTTTTAAATTTGTTTAAATTCACAATATCTTGGCTCCTGTTCGAGTCTCGGACTTGAGATTTGAACCAAGTGTTCCGCTTGTCGAGACCCATCCAGTCATCTACTACATTCCCATTGTGTAAGCATGTGGAGGGCTTAAGCACTAAAATATCTTGCTCCCATGTTAATCGGGGACTGGAAAAATTTCAACCCCCCAAGGAATTGAGCTTGGAACTTGATTTTTGGAAATCCGCCATATTTTGTTATTAGCGCAGTGTTTCTCAAACTGTGGGGCGCTCCCCCTGGGGGTGCGCAATAACCTTACGAGGGGGCGCGAGCATATCGAAAAAATAAAAGATTTAAAAAATAATTAATTTACTGGAATGAATTAAAACAAAATACTTTCAGACATAACAAAAAATACACTTTTACTCTGATATAAGTTATAGGCGATATAAAGTCATCAAGAAAAAAAAACTTCTTCAATACTTAATTAGCTATCTTTGATCCTATAAACGAATTAAAAATATTTTATTTAATTTGTTGTAATCCCATGATGAGAGAGTTTTTATTACGTTTTCTTTTTTAAAACTAACATTCTACTCTTCAGAGAAAAAAACAGATCCCAGATCCAGAATCGAAAAAATTTAGGAACATAAAAAATTCATCCTTGTCATTATTTTTGAGATACTGCACATTATAGCTGTAATTTGTTTGACCTTCTAAGTTATTGGTACAGTTAGTAATGACCCCTCTCTTATGTGTTTATTTCTCATTTAAGGAAGTTGTAAGTAATGTATTTCTCTGTTGCGCTTTTTTCCATGCAAAACAGTTTTATGATATTTGGAAAACCACGGAGAGCACATTTTGATGGATTACTTGGGCAAGACTTAGACCAAAATGAGTATTTTCAAACATATAAAACATAACAATTGTTTTTAGCAGTAGCATACATATTATCATAATAAATACACTTTTTACCCGGAAGTGGTCGCGCGGGACACACAGATCACGAAATTGTTAACTCTGGCAAAACTGTTTATTTTTTACCAAAGAAAAATTGAAACGTCCTTGAAAGTAGGTAAGTAAACTTTCTCTTAATTAAATTATTCATTGGAATAACGATTTGTATCGTGTACAATAAAATAATTATAAAAAATAGGATTTGGGAGACTTAATTACCCCGCTCGACCATATCGAGTGCGCGCCTGCTCCCAGGTTAAAACACGTTGAAGAATTTTTGCTTTAAATATTAAAAATAATACAATTATTCTTCATCGGAATTTTATATTATTGTTCATTATTTAACATCAATTATAAATGCTAATTCTGTGAGGCTTAAAATTAAAATTCGCTTAAAATTAATTATAATTTGAGCAATCACTTTAAAAAGAAACATTTTACATTTTTGTAAACATTGTCACGCACTTGGCTTTACTCTGCTTACAATACAGCTATTATATCACGAATTTTTTATTTTCTTATAAATGAACTCCTGCAAAGAGCGGGTACTTCGGCTGGTATACATTTAATGTATCAGTGCTGCACAGAGTATTTTAAAATTAATTAACTAATACTAAATTAAGAACAAGTTTAATAAGTATCAACGACTTCCATGGGCTTGTCTTACAAAGCAAAGTTTTGTAAGGATTGCTTATGATTAGAAATTGACCTTCTGAGTTCTTTTTCTATATTTAGCTGATATCTATATTTTGTCTTCTAAGCAGCCACCGCATTTTGCAATATGTTCAATTTAAAAAGTAGAGAAAGGAAAAATAACATAATAATTATCCTATTACTTAATTTATTTTTTTGCTTAAAAGTAGTATTCAAAATTTAATACTTATGTTATTAATTTGTATGGTTTATAATTAAGATCTTGTATTGTAGCTTTAGCGTCAAAGTGCATTATTATTGCATTTAGTGCATTATTATTGTATAAGGGGGCACGATAAAAATTGTGATTGAAAAGGGGGGCGCCAGTATTGAAAGTTTGAGAAGCACTCTATTAGCGCGAAATTTACGTGGAATTGGCACCCTCCCCCTACATTGCTTCCCCTGAAATAACCCGAATTCTATGCCACCTTGGTCGAACGCACCAGTTGGATTCGTTTGTTCCTCCTATGAGCATCCTAGATATATTTTTTCTGGACCATAGCCCCATTTCTTTTCCTATATATAACATTTTTAAATTAGTTTAAAATTATAATTTTTTTTAAATCCCGCATAGATTTGAGGATTTTTGAGATTCGTTAATGAAACTCTGTCCATAAGGTCTCCTCGTTGAGCTGTTTGAACTGTTATAATTCGTGTGTAGATAGTGGGCTTAGGTGGGGTCGTTATCACTAAAATTAGAATCGCCATGTTTTTCCTTTTGGGTTCGATCGTTTGATGACTTAACGATATTACAGAGTTAGAAGGATGAAACTTTGGGATCACCTACTACTCTGCGTATCGATGGGATGTACGTGACAATTTACGTCACAGTTGTTCCACTTCGGGGGCAGTTAATTTCGTTTCCCTTTCCCGAGCTAGCGCCGCCCCATTTGCAACTACAGACTCCGAACTAGTTCTAGAGGTTTCCTTATGTGTTTTCTCACAACCAGGCCCAGTTTTGAGTTGCTGAGTGTTCTGCTTCTCTTTTATTTAATTGTTTTACATATTTTAATTATTTTAAAGTTACCATAACTCGGGGGGGGGTTCAGGCGGATGTCTTAATTTTCTCAGGAACGATTCTTCTCTCCGAGACATTCAATATGAGATCTCAGATGTCCACATTCGGCTCACTTCATCTCCAGATACAGTCGGATACCCCCGATGTTATTGGTCCTATTGTCCCTGTGCGGGGGTGTTTAAATTTATTTAAATCGTGATTATGTCAGGTTTGGATGGTCTAATTTACTGAAGGTTAGTATTGTTCAACTCTGCTCGTGACCATCTTTCGCTCTTGGCCCAGCGTGCCCTGCTAAAGATTTTTAGAAAGATTTTAATCTTGTTACGCCAAAGAAATATAACTTCTTACGTGCGTACATAAGTACATACACACTTATTTTCTGTCGTTGCTCAAAATAAAGATAGAAGTTTAAGAGTTTCTTTAAATTGATTAAAATTAAAGACAATAATAATGATAAATTATCCATTGTTTGATTTCTCAGTTGTAGGAAATAATTTTTATTTAGAAGATTTTCTTCACATTATATTTTCTCCTTTTCATGTTGGTTTATTAAGTAATTTACTCTAACTTTACATACGAATGCAAAACATTTGTTTAAGTGAACAAAAATTATTTTTGAAATGTTTCAGTTCTTTTTCGTGTTTTCAATACAGTTTAAATAATATATTTTTTTAAAAAGCCAATATCTCCCCTTATTAAAAATTAATTTAAAATGAGAACTGTAATTATATATATATATATATATATATATATATATATATATTTCACGATTTATTTCATACATAACATTCTACATTTGTTTCCACTCCAAATTTTTTTCCAAGCTTTTCTTTTTTTTTTTTTATTTCACTTAGTATAAAATATTGGAATTGGGTCTTAGATTTTAGAAATGGCTTTAGTAGCCTAATGTACAAAATCACGCGCGCGCGAGCGCTTAACCTACTCACTGCTAACTACGAGATATCTCGTAATAAGCATGTGTTCTAAGACTACCGGCTACGAGATATTTCGTAGTTTGGGCTGATATTTTAGATTGATTACATATCTCCATTTGAGTTAGGGAATATTAGAAAGGATGAAAGGAAACATTTATCTACTTCAAAAAACATACTAATTATCAATTTTTATTTTTAAAATTATAACTTAGACGATTAGATTATAACATAATAATTATATGTAAATGAATGCATTAGCAAAAGTTAAAAAAAAATATTTTTATAGTT